GGGGAGGAGAGAGGAGAGGGGAAGAGAGAGAGAGAGAGAGAGAGAGAGAGAGAAATGTCTGGTATGTGCCATGGTTCAGCACCAGTCATCCTCTTCTCTTGACTTCAGGAGACGACTGCTTTTTTTGTTTTAATTTAGAAATTGAAAAACTCCTGACCTCTGAGCTCACCTCTTCTTCAAAACCAGAGCCAGGGTGTGATGAGTGGACCAAGCGATCTTTCTGCAAGAGACATATGGTTCCAAATTTGAGAAAATCAAGTCCCCCACCAAACATCCAGAGGAGCACTAGTACCCTCTAGTGGTAATTAGTGATTCTCACTTTCCATCTTGCATAGTCTGTAGTCTACCAGTAGTCCTGCAAACAGTTTATGTGCCATGGACCGGTAAAGACATGCCTTTCGCAGAGCAGCAACCATCTGCAGACTGGGTGGGTAGCTTTAAAAATTGCTATCATTATCACGACTTCACATTAATTTTAAATTGCTTCAGCTTTCAAGCATTGGTACTGAAAAATAACATAAATCGAGAGTACATCAGCAGGTTAGCATATAAAATACATTTTTACAACAAAATAAGATTTTTTTTTTTTAATGAAACAGTCAACAACTGAAGAACAATATAAAAGAACACAGTGAACTATTAAAAAAAATGACCCATCAGGAATAATGAATACGCCACAAAATGTTGACAATTTGTAAGTTATGATCCTCTGTATGGTGTTAACTTCATTGCTACCTGCAGATGTGCATGATCAAAAGATGACATGATTGATTGCTCCTTAAGTCTGGTGGCTGCACAGTTTGTAGCGGCTAAACTTCTAATGCTATAGTGACGGGTTTTGCATTTTCATGCTTTGTTAACTTGGATTGTACTTGTTCAAATGAATCAATCGGATTGTGAGGCCTGTTTTTGAAGACAGCAAAACGGCTTCATTTACTTCATGCCGCTGTGGAAATACCACCACACTCATCTGTAAAGATGATCCACCAGCTGCACATTTATAAGAAAGTTCAGTTGTTGTTTACGTCTTACAATTACTTTGTTTACTTCAACTTGCAAACCAAAGTTAGAAGAGCTGGGCTCTGATTGGCTGCTGTCATGCACATTTTCACTACTTCTGATAAAGTAAGATCGGTGGTTGGGGACCACTGGTCTAACCTTTCCCGCATCACTGTCTGGCCTCCCAGAGTCCCTGTCCGAGGATTTGCCGCTTGTAAGGCTGTCCAGAGAATGGCAAGAGGTAGCTTCAAACAGAGCTTCATAAGGACTCTCCTCCTCAGGCCCCGGGGCCAGCCCCGAGATGAGCTCGTTCACTTTTGCCAGATCGCCTGTCGAACAGTTCAAAATGTACCGTGTGCATGCAAAGTAATAAAACCTAAATTCAGGACAGAAGCAATGAATCTTTTTTGAATTGTTGAACAAGCTGCTGCAATAATTGCACCGAACATTCATGCTTTTAAAAATGTGTTTGTTTTTTTTAACCTGGTAAATCATACCCTTGTTTCGAGGGCTCGGACTGTCCAGGGGTGGAGGGATTGGTGGAGGGGGGAGGTCGATGTCAGGAGGCTTTCCGCTCATGAGTCCTGCAGCAAGACAAGATTCAATCACAGTGACCACATCAAGACAAGTTAAGAGGAGACTTCCAGTGTCGTTTCTGTGCCTCTTTTTCCATATGAATGCTCCTACTTTGGATAAGCCCTGCTATTGCTCTGCTCTTCTGAGAGGGCATGTCTTTGACAGTGTCCAGCGCTGTCAAGCCCTTCTGGTCCAAAATGTTCACATCGATACCTAAGAGTCATCACATGGAGAAGTTATGCTACCACTTTTCTGATCACTCGTTGAATCAATTTGTCTGGGCAATCAGAAGGATTAAAGATGACATCTGACCTGCACTGAGAAGCTTCTGTACCACATCTATCTTCCCAAACAAGGCAGCTTCGTGGAGTGCGCTGCCTTTCTCCGTCTGATCAGAAAAGAAAGTGTAAGAAATGAGAGGAAGAGAAGGAGGAGGTTAAAAACTGCAACATGCTTCCTTTGACTGCTTAAGTTTGGACTATTGGTTCCTCCACTATTGCTACTCATAATCACCAAGTCACCAAGGAAGTTTGGCGTTAGCTCTCACGCAAAGAAAGCAAGGTTATGTAAAAAGTGTCTTTTCCAATTTGTTGCCCACTAGTTTAATATTGCATTACAAAACTGTTTTTAATGAATAACCTGCGGCGCAGAGCAGGTCTTTCAATTTCTACACCCATACATTCAGATATATTCAGGACATTAAAAGAGCATTCTCTATGATGTATTTACTTAGCACCAAGGAAGAACCCCTAATAGCAGCCCATTTTCCAGGTCACGGGATCATGCTAATTACAACCAGCAGGATGCACGGCCTCAAGTCATGAGACAAGCCTTGATTTAGAAGAAAAGGAGGGAAGAAGAAAAGACAAAACAGATGGATGGTACTCTTTGGTACAGGCCGACCAACAGATGCCCCTCCGCCTCGTATGGGTGCCTGACCCAGCTCAACTTTTTAATCATCGTGATCTGCTATTATTAGCAGACGTTGTCTCATATTGCAGAAGTTGAGCGAGAAGTAGCATGAGCCAAAGGAAATGCTGCAAGACCAGTTTGGGCTTGCATATTGGGTAACATTGACAGTTGTGATTAAAAAACACACACGCACACGTACACACACACACATTATTAGAGCCTAAAGTAAGAGAAAATAAGGAATTTGTCACACTAGGGCCGGGCAATATTAACTAAAATGTACATTACAGTATATACCAAATCCCGAAATGGTGACGGTATATACTGTAACATTAAGTTAAGGGTAAAATTGTGAATGGGAGTATTTCTGAATGGGTCATCCAGCTACATAGCAGAGCTTGCTTGATTACCGATAATTGAAAATATAAAATATAAAATATAACTTTAAGAATATTTATCGTCCAGATGACAAAACCCCAAATCTCAGCATTCTGTGGTGCAAAGTACTGCAATAGAACACAAACAACATATCTAATATAAAAAAAATAATTCAACTGTATATAGTCATATCATAAAGTTCCGAGGTTCCCCCATCGAGATCCTAGGGAGCGTCTATTTTAGATGATATTAATAAATAAAACATCGAAGGAAGGGCCTGGCTCACAATCTCAGTTCTTGCTTATTCCAAAGGGGTTTGCTGTCGATGAGGTCAGTACTCTTAAGTTCTTCCACACCAAACTCCTCCAAGCACATCTTGATGAAAATTATTTTGTGCAATGGGCATTGTCACACTGCGACAGAAAAGTGCCTACCCCGAAAAGCTGAACAAGAGCTCTTGGTGAGATGAAGAATTAAGATTGAAGGTGAATCTGGTAATGTGAATAAAAACACACCTCATAGTTAATGTCCATGCCAGCATCAAGCAGCACCTCCACCACAGACAGATGTCCGTTTCGGGAAGCCAGATGCAGGGGTGTGTGCTTCTTAGTGTTGCAGCTGAGCAGGTTGGGGTGAGCGCTGAGCAGCAGCTTGACGACCTCTAGCCGGCCATATAGTGCAGCCAGGTCTAGGGGAGTCTCAAATTTGTTGTTCCTCATGGTTGGGTCGGTCAGCTCTTCCAGCAGCAGCCGCACTACCTGTGAGTGTCCGTACTGGGCGGCACAGTGCAGTGGCGTCTCATTGTCGTTGTTCTGTCGAGGAGTAGACAGGTGTGTGTAACAGCAGCAACACCGACACACACACACACACACACACACACACACACACACACACACACACACACACACACACACACACGTAGAGTAAATTAAGAGAGACAGAACATTGGACAAATTGTTATTTGCATGAAATTTGACTAAATTAAAACTGTTGTAAAAGCCCCAACCACCATGATAACGCACAGTGTACAAGGCAGCGAATGGAGGATGATGACTAGGGGTACACAGAGACTAATAGGGACAGGTGCGGCAGAAAGGATTGCCACAGGCAAAGAGGCGAGGACAGAGACAGAGGCACCAAGGCAGGTGGCTACTTGGAAGACGAATTGACAACTTGGAATTTTGACCATCACACCAAACATCATGTTGACATTTAATCCAGCGTTGCAATAATTAATCCTGCTTGTGCAAAAATGACCTTGTGGGTGCGAGCTCATTCCATGAATCCGCCTTGATGAAGCAAACTCAGCGGTCGTTAATTGGTTGCGGTATAAACTCCTTAAATGCTGCTTTCTGGATGGAATGACTCACAATGCAGCAGCAAAATCAGCACAGATTGAGGTTACTCGTAGAAATCATGGCCAGCAGGGGGAGAAATTTGCAGAGCTGAGCTGAAGCATGTCATCCCAACAGCACAGCTACATGAGACAGTCTGAACTGAGACATGTGCCGCACTGAACATTTTGTACCGTCCAAGTCAAAGTCATTCTACGTGATATCCACCGCAGCAAAGTCAACAGAAACCACTGATCTTGCCCCACAACTGTAAACAGCTCACTCAATGTACCCGGAAGGCTTGTGTTATAGTCAGAGTGGAGAAATGGGTGTGTCAGATAAGGCTAGAGAGTATGGCCAGTCACTCAACAGATAAGCCCCTAACCCTACCCCACTTACACATGCACGCCTGACAACACATGATGGCTGGGTTTTGTGCTGTGTGGCCTCAGAACACCATTTGACAAATCAAAAACCTGTTCTCTGGTGGGGATCAGCGCCTAGTTCCTGAGCATGAGGTCAGGACAGATACTAGCGAAGCAGGTGACCCCTTGGACGGGGGGCAGGAGTGGAGCTTAAATAGAAATAACCCCATCATCACAAAGACATAGTTGACACTTGAGCGAAATGCAAATTAGCACGACTGGACCTCATCCACTTTGTTCCTTCCCGTGGCAACACAAAGTCACGTGCAAGCAAAGAAAAGGCGGCACCTCGCCTAAGAGGAGCGTGCCGACTTTCATCTGGTGCATCGTCAAGCATTTGCTTGTTAGTGAGATAAACTCAGAGGGTGTAGATGACTTCAGCATGCAAAACATACATGCTGAGATGACATCAGCATGATTCACTTCCTCAAATATTAACATCTGCTGCCTCAGTGGTCATCTCTGTGATTCTTGGACGTATTATCCATCCACAAACAAGTGATTCTACATTAAGCTACAACAGCGGTCACAAACGCGGTGCCTCCAGGCACCTTGTAGTGCCCGTGGACCGCATGAGAAGCCCACGGGGCTGTTCTACGAAAAGTGATGGAACATTGTGATTTTCTAGGAATCTTGTAGAAGTGATCATTTGGAAAGTGAGAACAGTGGCAGACAGAGAGAAAGATGAGTGTTGACTGTTGATAATAATCTGTTTATGAATACTTGTGAGAACTCAAACATGATCAGTGTCTTTTCATAAAGTAATATCATTAATGTTTAATAATAATAAGATTAATAAAAGTCATGACAGCAAATGTGTTTTTTCATAAGTGTGTATCAAACTGGTACCCCTTGGCATTAATCCGTACTTGAGCAGTAGCCCTTAGCTTCCAAAAGGTTGATGATCCCTGAACTTGACAGATGTCAATTGTCAATTGATGTCAATTGAAACATTTACTCTCGGGTGACAACGGGAGCAGTGGAACATAGGACACTTGGTGAGCTGATTCTGTGTTTGCTAGGATGCAATACTCGAGTTAGCACAGCAACTCCACACAAGGCCTGTCTTGGAACTCCCAAACACCATCCCCAAATAACAAAACATCAATTTGCGATGCTGTTTGAATGCTGCTCGTGGCTAAGATGGAAGTGGGTGATTTCGTGATGTGTATTTTTCACATTATTGAGTTTGATTAAATAATCAAAGGCCCGTCATCCACATGATTTTTGTTTACCAGTTAAATTTACATAATCCCTCCAAAATGTGATGGAAAGGAAACTCCAAAATGCACACCAAATGCTGAACGCGTAATGGCTAATGAACAGCATGAGAATGACAGCTTGCCAGTCATGGCATATCTTATTTCAAAAATGTTACTCAAACGTTGCCTCTGCAGTTAATGAAGGTTCAATGTCGGCAACAATATGAGCCTAAAACAAATGAATTCACTTTACATCATTTTCAATGCAAACGTTTTGAAAGTCAGTCAACGTATTGCACTGTGTTTTGCAAATGCTTTCAGAAAAAGCTTGAAATGTGTGGCACAATTAAAACAGCATTCCAAAATAACAGCAAACAGGAGGCTGTTGCAAACATTCTATAAAAAAATCCAGATTGTCACATCGACAACGGCTGCGCTCGCTTACATGTCAACAGTCAAGTCAATAAAATACTTCACACAAGGGGGCTGTCAAAATAGCCACAACACCAAAACCTAGACACTGTACTGGACTTCAGTTACTGTAAACAATTACTACTATGATCATGACTGGCAAAATCTTGACATGTAAGACTATGAAAGGACCGTTGATCATGTGACCATTGCAATAAATGTGTACCAACAAAAGTCAGACATTCAGGGTTATGTGCAAATGGCACTGATGCCTCGCAGCCTCACTGAGAGCGAGAGATTAAAATTCAAGTGGCACAAGCAGACTTCCTGGACAGAGCATGTTTATATGGAAGTTTTTTTGTCAAGGCACTGCACAGCACAAAAGCTCATCCTGATTGAGTCGTCGGTGCACGTCAAACAAGATGAGCTTATGATTTTTGTTGCTTATTGATCATCTCTGTCAAGGAACATCTGGCCATTACGCTTATTGTGTCTTTTCCATATTGTGCGAGCGAGAGTCTTTGTGACAGAGAGAAGCAAAGACGTTGTGGTTCCCACAACCTGCGGCCCCAGAGACGATAACGCGGTCTGACGAGCGACCTCTGTCACGTGACGAACTGGCTGGCGGCACAGTGAGGTTACGTCACCATGGCCCCCAGCGGTGGCAGAGGAGGCGTGCGCTTGAGCAGCTGTTGTTGCTTGTGCACCAAGAGGCTGTGTGTGCCAGGGTCTCATCTGTCCATGGCCACAATCAAATAATGCTCTCCCCTGAATGAAGAGGAGATTCGTCGACAGCAGGTTTTAAAGACATTCAGTACTCTTTGGATTTTTAAGTGAGACAACAAAAAAGAAAATGGACTCTGGGAAACTCATTTTGAACAGATCTGATGATACTCCGTGTTGTGGGAACTATAACGATAACTTTTTTTCTTTTAAATTTGGACACTGTCACACATTCCTGAGTAAATAGTGCAAGCAGCCTTAGGGTGAGCTAAATCTCCTTCCGGACACAAACTATGGTTCTCTGGACTGGACTACGACTCCCTTTTACGTTCACAGCGCGTGGGATTGATTGGGATGCGCCCTGTAAACACAGCTGACACAAAAGCCTTTAAATTTTCAGTGCAATTTCAAAAAGTTATTTCTTGAATTACAAATGGACATGCCAAACGCTCCTGCATCTGCTGAAAATAAGGGCGGAAGATCCTGACAAGAAGGACCCCGGAGAGCCTAGTGTTGTCACAATACCATAATTTATGACTTTGATACTATTACTGAATATAGTATCTTGATACCGATACTAACTGCATCCCCCACTAACTGCATTTTTGCCAGCTAAAAATTTTGGTTCGTGAGCGGGACCGAAACTTGGTGCAACACTAGTAGAGCCGGTTTTACATTTCAAATGTGACACGCTCAGAGGCGCACGCATGGTCAGAGGAATTCATTGTAACGTATATTCAATTAGACAAGTGACCTATATAGCGATATGAAGCCTGCATGAGAGGTACTGTGACATGAGACTAAGGAGACCAATGGCCATAATGTTTTACTGGAACTATAATGACTACTGTACGCACCTGCATTTCACGAAAAACCATTGAATGGCAATGGCAATTAATCAATTCACAGTTATTTGTTTAATATTATTTTTGTTGGAATGGAAGAATTTCTATCGCAATATTCTTAGCTCTTGTTGCACAATCAGGCATTTAAAACAAGAAATGTACAGTGGCAATAACAACAGCGAGGCAGTCCCAAGATGTTTGGTCATCTGTACTGCATACAGTCCGTATGGGTTGCATCTGATGCAAATAAGCGTTTACGGCAGTGTTAGTGGAGCATGGATGGAAACATATTACACTATGCATGTTCTCCTTGTGCCTGCATGGGTTTTCTCCAGGCAATCCAGTTTCCTCGCACATTCCAAAAACATGAAGGGTACAATTGGGGTAGCCTTGAAGGTACTGCCCCTACGACAAGCCATTGGACCCTTCAAGAGAGAAATTTAGCATTATAGTGTGTATCGCAACTCCGGTATTGGGGTATTTGGGGCAGCTGGTCCAGGATGACAGACAACTGGTTTCACTCCAGATGGGAAAATTTTCCAATGACTGAGGGAGACCACCCTTCCTTTCAAGTTCCAGCCCACACCTGGCTCATTCTCTCGACTGGATCATTTGCCTCCACTGTATGGCCAATGACAATGTTACCAAGACAACGGTCTGCCCTGTCCTCTCCTGAGCAACCTTACGAACACCAAGTGGGAGGTGGGGCCAATCTGCCCATTTCCACCCTCCACACAGACAAGTGTGCCATGGAAATCTCTGTTTGATGTTGATGCAAAGCGATGGCGACACTGAAAACTACCCATCCTCCTCCTCACTGGAAGTAGGATCCCCCCCACCCCTCCACTGAGTCACATGATGCCATCAACCAATGCTAAAGCACCTTCGTTTTTTATTTATTCATAACAATGACTCAATTATTCAGCCACAAAAGTAGGTAGTACCCTCATCAAACTGCCATGATGTGCTTACTTAGATGGCATGCATAGCCACAAGTCAAATAGATAAAACAGAAATGGAAGGAGAAGGTAAATTGCTGAATGAGACTGCATCGTGCTATAGAGAAAAGTCATCCTTTCCCATCCAAACACTAAAAGGATTAGTTGACGATGTTCAAAAATAGTGTGCGGCTTTATCTACAGGCCTTGGTGGGCTTCCAGCCACGCCTGCTCCGAACACAATTATGGTTGGGCTGACATGTTTGCACTGCTACACAGGAAAGGGGGAGCTACTGTCAAAGTCAACAGGTGAATTCAAACATGGATGCAGGTAATGGGTGTCCCTCTTTAAATAGATGCAGGTAATGGGTGTCCCTCTTTAAATGATGAGCATATTATTTAAGGCGGATAAAGACCCAAGTGGCTCTGTGCTTTATGACAGTGCCACTTGGGTTCAGGTGTTCAATAAAGTTACTATTTTAAATATAAATAATACATATTAAAAATTAAATTAAAAAAATTAAAAAAAATAATAAATAAATAAAATAAATTAAAAAAATATGTATATTAGTTGCTCCATGTACAGCACTTTGTATGCAGCGATGGCTGTCTGAAAGTGCTCTATAAATACAGTTGGGTTGAGTTGAGTTGAGTTGAGTTAAAATATGAGTGTGCAATCGCTCAGAATCTGGAAGAGATGGTTTGCCACCCTTCTTTGCTGACATGGACATAAAACACTTCAGGAATTGCAATAACAAATTTTGAAGTGTGTGCATTGGTGCCCCGGTCATAACACCTCCAGTGTTGTGCTAGCAATACCATGAGTGCTAAAACTACTACTGTTTAGAGTGCAGTGCATAAACTCTTGCTTTTAGGGTTCATATGCATACCCTCAATGCCATCTTACCATTGACTTTAATTTAATCCAACGTAATCATTAGCGAGACTTTGACCATTGAACAAACAGTAACTGCAAATCAAATTAAGATGCAATGAAAACCAGTTAGTTAATTATAATGAATATTGGGTCCTCTCTGTGGGCTGTCTTTTTCATATTCTAGTGAAAATGACTAATACGTCAAAAAGCAGTAGCCAATGGCATGGCTCATATAAATATATATGAATAACTTTTGTCAACTAGTCAGCTTTTCAAAAAAATAAATGTTTAGCACTGTAAATTAATATTTACCTTCATGTCTTCAAAGTAAATCAACCGGGAACAAAAGTTTGTCAAATACATTTTGTTAACAGCAAAGTAATTTGTTTACTCTTTCCATCTTACCTCCCAAAAATTACAGTAAAATTAAATATATATCTCCATAAATAAGGCTGGCAGTTTCTCTTACATGCAAGGATTGTTGTCATAATGCACAAGCAGCTCAATAAAATTTGAGATTATGAGCATGGGTGAGCAAGTGATCCACAAAAAAGCGTCCCTGAGGTTCTGTGGCAGAGTGGCCCTCAAAGCAGCAGCAGCAAACCCACAGCAAGCCAACAGCAGCAAAGCAGACAAGCACTCAAAGGAAATATTGTAGCAGCACAGTGTACACACCTTGGCATTAATATAAGGGTCAAAGGGCCCGCAGCGTTTGAACTCTTTATGGTCTACAGAGCTCTGGGAGGGAGGAAAAAAAGATAAGCTGATGGTTTCGGTTCAGACAAGAAATGAATACATGAATGATTATCACAACTAAATATGAGAACACAACAGTGATGTGTTAATGACCAATCAGATGTCATGATTAGTTTCGGAGAAATGGCCCTCAATGAGAATGATATTATGATCTGTGTTTTTTAGCCGAAAATATTTGACGTCAGCTACAGTATAGAGCTCAGAGTGGGTCATTTCTGCATGTCCAAAACAGGCCTGTCTACAGTGACTGGCTTAGCAAAAATTGTTAACAAAGTTAGCGCAAACAAGCACTCCTCACGCAAACTGGGCATCAAAGCACCTCCAAGTAGCACAGTATCAGTATCAAGTGTGAGTCATGATGCTGAGAGAGTGCACTTAAGTCAAATTTTTAGAAACATCCATATTGTGCATCACACATGCAGTGCGGTGGTAGCAATTGACATAATGATGACTCAAATGACTTCTTTGTTGAAAAGCTTGTCGGAGGTTAAATGGCCCAAAGTTATCAAACAAATGGCTTGTGGGCCAAAGCCAGCCCTCTAGATAGCTCAATCCAGCACGCAGGAAGAATTTGAAAGTGAAAAAAAAATCATGTTGTGTGTTTTGTTAAGAGTTCTACATTTTCTAACTGTCTATGAGGCTAGACATTTATATAAGATGACTCTGACTGGTGATTGGATGAGTAAGCCAAGGGGGCGGGCGCAGTGTGAGTATGTAAGCGAACAATAGGTTGAAGAGAATATTTGGTTGGTTTCTCTTTATTTTGGCATGGGCAGGGCCGATAGTGACCCATCCTGAGCGCATTAAAGATATTATTGATCGACCACTTCCTTGATATCCTTTTAACAAGTGGCTTCCCACAAGACAAATGATGAGGTGGTTGCACGGGTCATTTTCGGCACCCGTTGTGACTGAACGGCGTTCAGTTCATCTCACAGCGCCAGTTCTGCTTACTGTTCTGTAAAAAGGAACCCTTACTGTAGTAAGTCAATGTTAATCAAACATCTTCACAACAAAAGATCTTAGTTTGGTGAAATCCTATTTATGTAATGCCATACAATTCATTTATGTATTCTTTATGGATGTTTAATGTATAAAGTGTATCCATTTATCATAAAATCCAATGAATTAGAGACTATTTTCTATTAAAACAAAAGATCTATTAAAAAGCATCATCTTATCGATGTTTACTTGTACCTATAGATGTAAAAAAAAAAAAAAAACAAACAAACAAAAAAACCGATCTCACCAACACAATGTCGTCTTGAAATCGAGTTCAATCTCTAATTAAGGACACATAAAAAAACTACTTAATCATGCTGACATTGTATTATGTGGCGCCTGATGCCAGCGTTAGCCATTAAGCAAAAGCCCCATACCAGCTCGTTTACCCCACTGGTTGAGGAAAAGCACCTGTTGCTTAAGGCAAACGGTGGCAGGGTTTTTACTTTCTGGACCTGGATTTGCCACCTCTGCTTGTTTCACTTTTCTGAAAGAATAAACAATGAGCATTTCTGATAGCACCGAATGAATTATCAAGCAGTTAACTGTTAAAAATATCAATATCCGTAAAACAAGAGCCAATTCAAAGAAACATGTCATTTTCTGATTGAGATTTTAGGGCTGATTTTGGGAGGACATATTATGCATGGGTGTGTGTTATAAATAGGTTTTTATGGTGTAGGCGGGTGACCACATTCTTTTGCATTTATTATATATTTAGATTGATTTGTAATTGTTCTGTTGTTGATAATGACATGTAAAATGGCAAAAGAAAAAAAACACCAAGTCAGTGTTATCTACGGGATGTTAATCATGCTAGGATTTTACTGGCCCAGCTCACTTGAGATCAAATTAGACAGTATGTGGCACCCCTGTTCTAGACGAAGAATACGACCGTTAAACATTTCATTCTACTGAGAAAAGCTGACCTGTTCTAATCACAACACCGACACACACCAGTACAATGTAAATCCAGGGCCCAACCTGTTCGTTGAGTTTGGGGTGGGAGGGTCCTTGGTGGATGAGCAACCTGACAATTTGCTCGTCTCCCTTCCATGCTGCCAGGTGCAAAGGGTAGCAGCCCTTGTTGTCGGCAATGTTGGTCAAGGCCTCGTTTCGTAGGAGCAATTCCACCACTTCACTGACAGTTAAAGAAGGGATAGGGCATGTAAGGTTTTCAAGAGCGATAATAAATATAGACTACGTTGCAAACGGGTAATCAATAGCTTTATAGTCCCACCGGGACCGGTTTGCGGTGTGCGTAGGCCTCATGGAATGTGGAGGCCGAATAGATATGGCAACAGCCACTACCTGTGTCCATTTAAGGCAGCGTGATGGAGTGGGCTGTATCCGGTGCTGTCCACACAATTCACATTGGGACCTCTCCAGATGCTGGTCGAAAAAAAGAGAGCAATAATAAGTACACACAAAAAAAATGCTAAATACTCACTTTGTCATGATGTGAAGTCACAGTTGTTATGGTTATTTTGGTTATAATTGAACAGTCATTGTATCTTCAATCAAAAATCATATTGATGCTGAACGTTGAATATAACACGACCACAGACTATATTTGTCAAAACATTTTACAATCAAACAGATACACAGAACATTTGTTCTGTCTGTGTATCGATCCACAGACCAACCATTGCAGCTTAAACCTAAACGGCCATGGTGGGAGGAGGGTGCAGCCTCCTTTCTCAAGCAAGTTCAAGAGGACAACTACGAAGCACAGACAGGCTGCAGTTTTCAACCAGGAAGGAAAATCACCAGATTGCTACAACTAAAATTAGCTCATCCCATCTAGTTGACGGTAACTTTGTTATTCCCAGCTATTTACCCATACACAAAAGGCCTTTGTGCAGCATGAGCACACACAAAAAGCACTGAAATACCAAAGAGGTAAAACTTTGACATCTCAAATGCAGATCTCTTCCAACACAGTAGCTGCACTCAGCTGTCAACTAATGCCGGTTTGCTTCTTTTAACTTGCAAAGTGCAATGTTCTCTTTACAGAAGGGAGACGATCGAGTGGGTGATGAAAAAGCAAGAAAGAGAGACCAAAGAAGCCAAAGGATGTCTGGTGTGATGAAGTGCCCGAGCGGGGATGCAAAGCACTCTGAAAGACCTTAACAGCGCTAAATAATAAATCATTAGACTAGAATATACAAGCACTAGTGAACCAAATATCTGAGTCACATTCTTTGCTTTAGAGATAAATGCATGCATAATTGAAGTATCTTTTCTTATTTACATTGCTATTTTCAATTCTACAGGGCTCATGAATGTTTAGAAAAAGACACATTCAAATAAACCACTCCGGGTAATGAAAGCCTATGTAACACATGGTTCATTGCTACTTCAGGTGTCTTCAGGGAACTCGTGCCCATTTTTATTTCTACATCAGCGCTATCATGATTAAGGTGGATAAGGAGAAACAACTATTGTGACTCACATTCACACCGTCACTGAATGGGAACGGAACCCACACTGCCTGCACCAAAGTCAGGTTGAATGAACCACTCGTTCACTACACCATCAGGGATTTGATCTGGATGAATATAACTTTGCTTCACACACTTATCTCTGCCTTAGGCACTCCACCACAAAATATATCCCTCATAGTAGTTCTTAGCAGTGTGTAATTATACGGCCACTGCTGTGGATCTGTGGCTCATGGAACAATGAACTTGACACTGCGCATTCAACGAGATGCAACCCTTTCCAAGTCACAGACAGCTTATTCCCTCCAGCACGTCTTCAGAGTTTTATTCATCACAAGAGGCAGCCATGAGGATGCACTAAAAAAGCAGAATGTGCGAGGAGGAATTGCTCGAGTGTGAGGAAAAGCTGGGCGTTTCTCGGCTTCTGTAAGTCAGCGAAGGAAGCTATGATCATGCCAGATATTAAAACCAACATGTTTCCTTGTCATTCCTCTAAGAACCAGCAATGACATTTTAGGGTCGGACATTAATGTTCCCGAGTCACTACGGCCCTGTCTTGGGCTACTACTGTACATACCCTGAAGACAGTGGCCCAACCAGGCCAGGAGAAATTTCATAAATGATAATGAAATCAACATGTTCTTGCTTTTTTTTTTTTTTTTTTTACATGCAAACGAATGAACTATGCAGAAATATCTTCAAAAATTTACTTTACTACTACTAAATTTTCTATTACTTTTAAAAAATAATAGAACAATACTAAATATGAAATAATCACTGAGATTTACCATATCACAGTGTTGCCTTGCTAAACTGCGGTTCAGTTATCGCAGCGTCAGTCTAATTGCAGGGTTTTCATATGTGACCATAATTTCGTCTACTGTGAGTTTACCACACTATTTTGTGTGTTTTCTTACTATTTTTCTTCCTTCTCAGTCAGACCAGGCGAAATTTGTTTTACAAAAAAAAAAACAAAAAAAAAAACATACCTTGAACATAATAGCCAGTCGCCCCCCAAATCCCTCGTCGTGCGAGCATTCGGAAAGACACTACAAGCGCACTGCTTGACAGAGACCGTTGGTAAACCGAGAACGTTATTCAAATGTGCCATTCGCTTTTTCAGAGTAGCCCAAAAAAACAGGGCACAGTGCATCAGGCGGTACAAGGAAGTATCCAGCTAAAGCATGAACTGCTGATGATAGGTTACGTTCAGAAATTAATGTGAGCAGAGTGCATTCTGCCATTGACAGTACACGAGGAAGAAAAAAAATCAGCTTGATAACTACGTTTAAGTTTTTTTGGTTTTGTTTTTGTCTAAATTGGCTCACCTAAACCAGGATCCTGTGTCATATTGTAGTCAAAGGTACACTGGTGGTTTAATGCGCCTTTTGGCTCTATAAATCCTTGCTGTGGGAGCCCAAAGCTAGTTGTCAATGCTACCATTCTTCTTCTTATATTTAGAAGAAATTCCGATGAAAGTACAAGGATTTACAGAGCTGGTATTCTTCATTTGTCATTTTTAAAGTTATATTTATTAAGTGTAAAAAGTGTTTAGAAGGGTGGAATCCATGTAGAGGGTTTTGCAATGACTTGTTAGAGCATCCCACACCCCTAAAAAAGGCAATCTCTACTTTGTGGAAATTCACCTAACCCGGGGAATTATAGAACACACCACCCATGAAATGGGAGGGAACACAGTTTCTCATTATATAGGGCCACCACAACGCGGCTCATCGTGGCCCCACTGGGTCGCCACTCGAAAAGGCTTAATGTTGGACCCTGCATTTGCAGTCCTCTTGCGCGCCAATGCCACGTTTGCGTGGCCACTGAACACATCACAAGCACAAGTGGAGACAGAAACCGACTTTTGGTTTCTGTCCTAGATAAAAGAATTACATAACAGCTTACATCAGGAAAAAAAAAAAAGCTCATAAACACATTAACAAACATAAACAGAGCAGCAACTAGGACAGGGGAAGTTAACGAAATCAGGCAGAGTGCAGAAAGCATTACCAGATAAGTGCAAGAAGTCCTGCCTGAGCATCAAGCACACAATTAGTACGACTTTGACTTCATTGCACTGATGGTCTCACTAGTGAACACTGATAGCTTCTTTCCAGACATTGTAGTTTAATTGGGAGGCTCTCATTCAAGGCTTAGTCGAGTTTAATCAGACATTTTAGCTATATTTACTCATTACAGTATTTGCAGATAGATGTCACAAAATCGGCAACAGGAATTTGAAGTGTGTCTATTTTAACATTTAGCTGGACTTATATTTCTTTCTAAAAGGAATCACATATTTGTAGCACTCAAATTTTGAATCAGAACCACTTTTGGTTGAGTCAAGTTACACAACATTAGTCAAGGAATTGATGGCATAGACCTGAAGTAAGCATGCAGACAGAGGTGACTTCAGAAAAGAGTTCCAATATATGACAATATGTTTCTACGAATGACTGGTATTGATCATGAAACAAATCAAACACCATCTATTATTGTATACATTAGCGATAAAAATGCAAAGCAAAACCACCTTTTTATTTGTCACATGCTTTTATAAGAGAACTTTTGGGAATGGTATATCTAATAATCATTGTTGGCACTCTTTCAAGACACAGTTATTAGTTTTGTGTAGTTTCAGGGGGGTAAAAAAAATGCATGGAAGCTTTTATACATTGGCCAACTTAGAGCTGTGTGGTAGTGGGTATGAGTGGAGTGTCATTGCTTAGAGCAGAGGTCCCCAACTGCCGGGACTGGCATCAAATGACCCGCGGACCGGTACTGGTCCATGGGTCATTTGGTGTATCGGTCCGCGGGTCATTTGATGCCGGGCCGCACAGAAAGAATAATTAACTTAACATTCCTTCCGTTTTATTCATTTCGGAATCTGAAATATGTTTTATTTTGAAAAATTACCGGATTCTCTGTTATATCAGTCTACAGTATGTCATTCTCGACGCAGTTGATTGCGCGCTTCTCAGTCACCGCATATAAAACAAACATCTTTGAAAAGTTTTTTCGGGAAGGAGAAAAGGCCCAGCCAGGAGACAGAAGAGGAGCCTACGACTTTCAAGAAAGAGAAGGCTACATTTAATATACAGTACAAGGAGTCCTATTTCAAATACGGCTTTATCTCAACAGGAGATTCACACGCACCAAGTCTACTCCGCATAATAAGCAGCGATGGTGAGTCGTATTTTTCATGCACTTTTTATTTGCCGCGTATCTTATTTTGAAGGCATGTTTAAACGTTACCATAGAGACCAGAGAATGTTGCGGCCAGATAGGATGTTCCTCGTGTCATGACTTGTGTTTATTATTATATTTTGAAAATACCACACTTTTCATGCAGGTTATATCATATTATATTGTTGTATCTATCCGGCCTTAAAGGCCGGTCCTTGAAATCATTGTCTGACATGAAACTGGGCCGTGGAGCAAAAAAGGTTGGGGACCTCTGGCTTAGAGTTCTCATGCTACTCAGATACACAAACATTGTGTCATGGAAGCCACATTAGCAGAGGGGCTGCAGCGTCACAATTTTATATCACCTTTTTCATTTTTTACAGAGTTCACAATCATTTAGAGCGGCCAGTCGGATAAGCCACAACACCTCATCTGCTCAGCATTTTGGTGAAGTGGCACTCGAGGCCAGGAATCAGCTTGGAGCCGGACAATCCAGTGTCATCCTCTTACTACAGCTCACAACTGACGTAGCAGAGAGACAGGGCTTAAATCCCATAGCTCGGCGGTGGGCAAAACACAACAAGACAATTTGGATTGGAAGCGCGGATGGTGTGTGTGTGTATGTGTGTGTGTGTGTGTGTGTGTGTGTGTGTGTGTGTGTTCGTGTGCGTGTGTGCGTATGTGTAGTTGTAGGGGCATTCATGGGAAGCGACGAAGGAATTCCTCTTTGAAAGGGCCACGCTAATCCTTAATTTCCCT